CCAGTGGTCGCGGCCGTTGGTCCCGCCCGCGGCAGGGAGGGGTTTTGGGGGAAAAAAAGGGGAAATCAGCGCTTTGCTTCTGCTGCCGGCTGCGTGAACGCCCCGCGAGGCGGAAGCCATCGCGGTGATCTGCCTCGCCGCCTGCGTTATGTCGCGGTACAGATATGCTGAGAGCACCACGTCTTGGGAAGCAGTTACCTGAAACGAGAAGTAAAATGTCAGTGACAAATAAAAGGGAAAAGCCAAAAAGCAGAGTGTGACAGTGGCTGTGACCTGCCTGGGATTACGACCTGGTGGGATTACGCATAGCCACAGTGACTCGTGTGTCTGTGCACCGAGTTCAGTCATATATAGCTCACCTATAGGTTAAAAAAAAAAAAAAAATCTTTGCTTTGCTAGGGAGGACACTGAGGATACCTGTATCCAGGGCAGCGTAACTCTGGAGAAGGTTGCCTTCCCCTTTGGAGATGCCAGAGTCTGACACATAGATCAGCCCAGCACGTACTTCTTAATAGCATCATTTAGCAACAGCTGCCTAAGTACCTGTTGCTGATATGTCTGATGGAAATGGGTGTATTTCTGCCTGTATTAGATGGCAGAATGATGAAAATTAACATAAAAACCAGTGGTTCCCTTTTTCTCGAGCGAGAATTACTGGTTCTGGCTACCATTGAAGTTAACATTTTTAGTTATTTCTGTACAAAACCTCAAATGATTTGAGCACATTAAAAAGCGATTTATTTGTTACAAAATAAGATTAGCTGAAACATGAAATCATTCAGAATATTATTGCTACAAATAATGTTGCTTTAATGCGACTTTAGTCCAGTTGCTTCTGTTAAAAGGAATTTTTTGAGGTTTAATTTGCATTAAGTCTAAATGCTATTTAACAAGCAGCACAAACTAGAATTCTATAGAAAAAAATGTACATTTCTGCTTACATTTTGTTATTCAGTATAAAAAATATCAACATAACATGTTAATTACATTAGGATGCTGGAAATACTGACACACATTTATTTAAAAATATAACTGTGCTAATCTGTTTTATTTTTCTAAATTTTCTTAGCCCACATAGTTCTTTTAAAAGACTCAGAATGACTTTATCTGAGTGAAAACTCCCATTCATTTCAGTTAGACATTATTTGGAACCCATGACCAATATTTTATTGCCGTTTGAAACCAAATAGATAACCTTTTCTAAGTCAGCTTTTATAATAAATTAAAACCTGACATGCACAGCCTACATCCAAGCAGGTTAAACACAGATTATAGCCAGCAGCATTCGGGAGGAGCAGAAGAGGAGACACTTGAAGCCCTTGGGAGTGCACAAAATGGCCTCTGCATCTACTCATTGCTGTTGGGCAGTGACATTATTTCTGCCGGGATCACTGCATGACTTTGATAAGCTGGGATAACTCGTATTTCTTCCATTTGACCATATAAAGTTGCTAAAAATTGTGGAAGGTTCTGGAAAGTTTCAGCTCCTCCTAACGTAAGTGGAACTGGAGTGTTCAGTCCTTCCAGCAGTTGCATAGCACCTTGCAGGAGCCCTGCTCTTAACACCAGCACAGGCACATAGTGAGAGAGGGACAGTTCCTTGCAACCTGTCCCTCCTCCACAAGGCAGGATACACTACAGCCTCGTACTTATTAATCCATAATAGTCTGCCCAAGGGCCGGACAGTGAAAACTTTAAGTGCATTTTTCTATGGATAAACCATCTCTGTCGATGCAAATATTTGCTGTTGCAAACTATCATTGCACACGCACCTCCGGGAGGGCTGCTGGTTTGCTGCTGATTAGATTTGTACAGTGAGTGGCAGCCTTGGACAAAATCCAAAGCATGCAGTAATTTTAATATTCATTTAAACTGGTGTAAGCTAGTGCAGAATAAACAGTAACAAGCAGCTAAATCAACAGCTTTATCATGTTGTTCACTTATCTAGAGGATACCCTTCACATTACATCTATGTTTAGAGAAAGGGAACAAAACCATCTCTGAGCATGTTAAGGACAAACCTCGAAAAAGTTACAGGAAAAGAGCACTAGGAAGAGGGAAGATTTTACATTTTCCTGGCTACTATGCTGCGTTTTGTTGTTGATCTTTCCCAGTTTTAGACAAGCCTCTGTAATAAGTGATAATATTTTTATAACTGAAAATGAGACCTTGTCACTGGAAAAGATGTTATCTGGAAAACAAAGTATGAATATTGGCATATAATTTGATATAAGTATATATAATTTGAAATAGTCATCTAACAGCACAGTTTATTTATGTGTGACTATTACTGTGTGACTATATGATGTTAATACCTATATAACTTGTACATTATGAACATTTATTTAAGTTAATTCGGAGTGTTTCATATTCTGCACCTCGTTTATTATATCCTGTGTCCTGTTTGCTCTGGGGAAGGGTTACGATAAAGTCAGAGGCAATGAAGATGGGCACTAATCTAACAGGTGCTCCACTCCCTTTGTTCTTTGTATACACATATTCAAATGACACAGGCAGGGGACAGGATAGGGCCTGTTAACTCATTGCTGATTTTCCTAGCAAATAAACCAGCAGCTGCTGGTCCAAGCGCTGGCTTAACACTGAGAAGAAGGTGGGATTTGTATGGGACAGGATGCTTTCATGGAGCCCTTTAGCAACTTATTTCGCGACTTACCGTGCAAAATATATTTTCTACTTGTAGGTAAGAAAAAGTATGAATGATATTTGACTGTCGTTGTGGAAATGTGACTAGTTTTCCTATTCTTAAGCCTAAAGACACTTCTATTATGTTGTCAGTTGTTTTATTTTAAGTAGTCTTAACAGGTTTTAATCAGAAAATGCCACCATTTTGTGAGTAGAACTAGAAACTTTTATAAACTCTCAAAATTTAGCACTATACATATCTGTAAATAAAAGATCGACGTTGAAAGTATACATATATATACATGTGTCACATCATGTTTTATTAAAATATACATTTTGCATTCTTTTAACAAGTACAGCTTGACAGGTTCAGAACCAAAGCTGATTATTAATGTCACTCATCTCTTTAAAAATGCATTATTATGTTGTATTGGTGCTGACTTATTTTCAGTTCTTATTATGATGCCTTATTGCTAAGATGTAAAATTTCTATTAAATATTTAATTGTATTTGGTATTAAAGCTAATTGAATTTTTTGGTCAGCTGAAGACGTCTTTCCATTAACAGTACTTTTGCTCAGTATAGTTTTTATAAGTGTACACGTTATCCTTTCGTTTGATTAAAAAGAAAACAGAAGTTTATGCATTTTTATAGCAATTTCCTTTGATTAAGTGTTAGGTAAAGTTATATTTCTACAACTCCTGTAATACCCTTTTGCTATCGGTTGGACTCAATGATCTTGAAGATCTTTTCCAACCACAATGATTCCATGATTCCTTGATTCTATACTTATTTTTTTGTACATATCAACAGAAG